TACCTATATTTTTTGTTCATACTCTATTCATTTTAAACATATAAATTATTATGCTACTCTATGGGGTCTTAACAAAAAAGAAAATAAAAAATAATTAAAAAAATTACTTTAACTAAAATCACAGAAACACAATTATTTATGTATTCCAAGAACGAGAACCGGTTCCTCACTCTGTCTGCACAAACGTTATCATTAAAAGATTAATGCACGCCATATATTATAATTACAATATAGTATTAATTAAGAAACAGTCATTTAACCACGTTTATGGCTCAGTCTGTTACACTAGTCTCATGCAACAACAACAATAATAAAAATACAACATTATACTCGTGTGCTTGTCGTTTAATTATTCACACACGCTTTTGCATTATTCAAACATTAATCCTAGCACTCACGAATATATAAATATATATTTATGTATACGAAAAAAAAAATCTTGAAATTTTTTTAACCCTATGCTAATAAATCTCACACACTATTCCCCCTTTGAACCATAATAATTTTTAATATAAGATAGTCTTTATGTATAAATAGAGGATTTTACAGCATTTTCACGTACACGTACAAAACTTGCTTTTTTTTTTTTTTTTTTTACTTGACTGAGTTTTACTTTTTACATAGGAGCCCGCTTTGCATCGAAAGAAAGCCACATGTTAAGCACTACTATATGTATTTGAAATTCCCTGCAAGAATCAAAAAATGTTCGATGGAAATAAAAAAATTTCCTGTGATCATTCGTTACGTTACTTATTTACTAACTCGACGTCTGTAAAAAAAATAGAGGAATTTCGTAAAGTTATATATAAACTTGAAATATTTGTTAAAACTTAGTTTTTCTATATTCATTTTATAAAATTCAAGGTAAAAATGTATTTGCAATCTGAAAACGGTTCTTGGCGAGATACATTAGACATGATTAAATCATTAACATCGAAAGGGTTTGTTTAATTGCAATCGGACTTAGGAACTATATGACAAGTATATTATAATACAACATCGATGGAAAATCGATAATCTTTGACCCGCGCGCGTTTGGTCAAAAATGCAAAAAATAGAACAATATTCGGTTTTCAATTACGTTTTCTATTATTACAAGTTGCGTTACATACATTTATACACAAATATGGCGGAAAGCTACGTAACTGTGCGAGACACATTTTAAGTTTTCGTATGTACATTATAACAATGTTGATACTTTAAAAATGAAATAAAAAAAATAAAAAATATAAACAAATTAACATTAAAACCGTATGTATATTTTTTTACTTATTCGTAAGCTGCCTAGGATTAAAAAAAACATGTGGCTTTACAAATACGACGTTATAACTGGCTCTCAAGTAATATAAAAAGTAGTATATCACAAAAATTAGGCGCAGACAGAGTTAGGAAAGGACCAGTTTAAAAAAAGAAGGGATATCAGATCTCTTGGCAATTTTTAATGCCGAAAATTCGAACAATGGATCGATAGGACAGACGCGAAGCACTTGTTTTCTTCAAACTATTTAATTTGTTCGTGATTTTCGTACTTGTCATACAACGATTCAAGTACTTTATTACAAAGTTATTTAATACTATGTAATGCAAATGACGTAATGCTGCCAATCAATACCTCTAATATACACTGTCTTGTGTGCTCCAACTTGCAATCTCCATCCGATAAATTAAACTTGTTTATAAACTTTTCATTTGTTTGCACAATAATGACTCATAGACATCCAATTCTTAAGGCAAAAAGATTAGCGCTTACCACGTAGTCATTACTTGTAAACTCTGGTAAGATTGAAAAATTAAGATGAATACATTCATTGGGTTGAACGAATTTTAAAGCAGTTTCGTTCAGATTTTTTTTTTTTAATACACAGTGATATCCTTACTGAGTATCTAAGTTTTTCTTGCATGATGCTTTTTTCAATGATTTTATGTGATAATGACCTTTTATTACTGTAATATTGTTTTTGACAGACTCACTACATATCGGTTCGAGTGAAATTACAATGCTCTTTACAGATAAAACGTTTTCTGTGAGTCTAAAACAATAAAAGGTTTTTATTTCAGTTGTGCAATAAAAAATCACCAAGTTCCATAGATTTCACGTCACAGCTCGAAACTAATCCCACAATGTGATTTTTATTAGCAGGAATTTATTTGCACGATCCTTTAAAAAAAAAAAAAAAAA